CAGTTGTACCTTGGATGATCTCTTGGGAAGGACATGTGCCTAATCCAGAGTAAGAGTTCATATTTTGAAAAAAAAAGGCTATGTTTTGAAAAATTACTATGATTATGAAATCGGTATGATGTAATGACTTGTAAGGAAGTTAAGTGTGCATGAAAAGCCCTTTTGGGCATGGTTTTTCGGGCTTGGAATTTGTCAAGTTGTTTGGTTGTAGTGTTCTCAGATACTCGTTTCTTCATAGTTGGGGTACTTCTCATCAAAGGGGATTAGTTAATGTGTATGTATGGAGGTCGATCATCAGTCTTAAGGTGTGACTTCTGAAGTTTCAGACCAATGCATTTTCGTTCTTGTGAAGTTTATCATATGAGTGACTCTGTAAGGTGAATGAATGGACAACTAGTTTTTTGGATTTCATCTTGTCAAATTTTCAGGTGAGTTTTCATGAACTTACTATGTGTTATATGTATGTTGACTAGTGACTAGCTCCTCGGGGAATCTAGTTAGAATGGAAGGATGTAAGACCACGAAAAGCCTCTTAAGTGAGGGAAGTGGTCATGTATTGGACAACTAGAGAAAAGTCTCTCCGAAAGGGAATCCAATTGTTTTTGTCTGGATGGCCATGTACAGATGGTTGCATGGTGAATTACTAGAGAATAAATTCTTAAGTGAGGGAAGTTATAGTTATACCATCTGGGATAGAGGATTATGCTAGAATATATGTTATGTGTTAAGTTTTTTTTTTTTTTTTGAAAATGGCGGAATTTTATTAAAAGAAAGCCACAACTTATAGAGGAACAAGGTCGGGAAAAGAAAAACAAAACAAGCAAGATTACATAATATTAAAAGGAGAACAAACCCAAGCCGCCCAATTACAATTCCCATAAGACCCCCTACGCTTAATCCAACCAAAAACAATTATGAGAACATTGTCCGCCAACCTCGAAGAGGAAGTATGGATCTTGCTAAAAAGCTTATCATTCATCGCCTTCCAAATGCACCAAAGATATCCGTAAATTATAGCAAGCAAAATCTTTTGTTTTTTGGGACAATTACCCCATATAGTAGCAAATTTGACGAGATTACCCACCGATTGAAAGTTTTTCCAGGAGATGTCACACCAGTTAAGGATCCAACGCAACGAGCCAGACGCAGTAGGGTAGCCCAAAAGAAAATGCTTCGAGTCATCGATCCCAAATTCGCACAACTGGCAAGAACTATTGGGAACAATAATACCCCTATGAGAAAGAGCCATAGCCGACAAGATTCTACCAACACACGCCCTCTACACAAAACCTATAACCTTCATCGGGACCAACTTAAACCAAACGGTTGGGTTGGGCGACGAGACCACCATCTTTGAATCAATTAGAGCCTGCGAATCACTAACATAAAACCTCACATCATTATAAATTCTCGACTTCCATACATCTAACTCACCGGTTAACGAAATTGAGTTCATGAACCCCCATAATTCATGCATTGCTTAATGTTTATGTGTTATTATGTGTTTTGCATATGATATGTATAATAGGTGAATGTTGTGATTACTCACTAATAGCATCTACATCGGTTCTTTCAAACCAAATTGCAAAGCCACGTACTCACTATTTAAAAGTCGGACTTCGCAAGGGCATTCCAAGGGGACCCACAATACTTTGATCAATTTATCATATTGTTTAACTCCATGTATTCCTAGTCTTTTATCTCCTTGTAATTATTTTAATTTCAAATGGCTTTATAATTAATTAATTGTCAATAATTAATTATTCATCTATAATAATTATAACGTTTTAACTAGTGAACTTGAAATTCAAATTGTTAGTGGTCGTTATAAATGAATGTAAAATTATATATATATATATATATATATATATATATATTATATATATATATATATATATAATTGTTGATTTGTCGTTATGGACCATTTTGAAAGAATGTTAGTATTGTACTGATGTGAAGATAATTATATAATTTGATGTGAGATTGCAAAAGCTGATGTTACATATGTCGATGCCCTAAGCCTTAAGCTTACGATTCCTACTTTCATATTTTTAACTACAGGTCATTTTTATTTGAAGGGGCAAGGAGTTGGCATGTTGGGATATCTAGACATTATCGGAGGGGCATGGCATATGGTCTAATTACCTATTGTTACGCTAAAGCATGATTTAGCTCCCGCACTTTATTATGCTTATGTTGATATAACATGATGAAATGATTTCTCAAATTGTTAATAGTTCTCAACAAAACATTTTATTAAAAACCTACACTTTTATTTTAAAATTTTGAAATTATGAATTTTTGGGAGCTATAGAGTCGAAAACGTGGCAATATATCCAAACTTCATAATCTGTGGTTCTAAAAGAACTTAAACATCCAAAACCAGTCTTAGATAAAATTTTAATTATTGTAATTTTCCTTTCAAGTTAATGAAATTTTAGATTTTATAAAACTTAATTCGTTTAAATTGATTATTTTTTTATAAGTTAATTTTATTTTAAAAAACATAACATGTCAAAATTGGTAAACCACCCCCTTTAAATGACAAACTTTTGAAGAGGTGTGACAAATCTTAGATAGCGCCTACGTGGTAGCAAAAATAGCATCACTCCTTCTAGCCTTAGGGCATTATATGTAAGACATTCTTTAATTTTATTTAAAGGAAAACACTATGTAGCGTCTGGATGGTATATGGTGTACAAAAAGAAAATGGTTAAATGTAAACAATTTCAAGTTGTTAAACCTACTCCCTTACCACCTAACACCATCGGTGACACTTCTACCACAACCATCTCTGACACCGCCACCACCACCACCTGCGCCACCAAACGTCATTATTCATATATTACTTTTATATGTAATCATATATGATTACATCATCTCTCGTGTCCTTCGGCACCTCCGCCGCCAACACAATCGTTATTCTTTTATGTTTAATGTATTAGATGGATTTTAGTAGAACATAATTTATAGAATGAAAAATTAAAAAGTTTGTGTTTTTTTATGTTTTACGTGTCAGAAGAGGAAGTAAAGGTTGTGGTCGTGGTAGAGATGGCGATGGCGATAGAGGTGGTGGTTGTGGTGGTGACGGAGGTAAGGGAGGTGGTGTAATCATATGTGCTTACATATAAAGTAATATATGAATATTCGCAGTTGGTTATGACGATGGGTGGATGTGGTGGTTGTTGTATAGGTGGCGGTTGTGTTGGTGGGGGGAAGTGGAGGAGGAAGGGCCGAAGGGGAGGTGATGTAATTATATATGATTAAATAAAAGTAATATATGAATAATGACGTTTGGTGACGGAAATAAGGGTGGCAATAATGGAGGTGGTGGCAGTGGCGGTGGTTGTAGAAGTGATGATGGCGGTTGTAGTGGTGGAGGAGTTGGTAGGCTAGGAGATTCAACAAGTTGAAATCGTTCACATTTAATCTCTTTTTTTTGTACAACATATACCATCCGACTTGTTGAAAATGTTGAAAGGTTCAATAAGTTTGATACTATATAACGTTCAAAACAAAATCTAAATGTAAACAAAATCAATAGTTCATTATTCTCGTAAATTATTTTCCCTTTATATAAAAACTAAATCCTTTTCTCTCGTCCCTAATATATAAAAGTTCAGCCGAAAACTTTATATTATATCAAAAATTTACAACTTTGTGATATAAAGTATATATAAACCAAATCCTTTTCTCTCGTCCCTAATATATAAGAGTTCAGCTTATATAAAAAATTTACAACTTTGTGATATAAAGTCAGATGACTTGAGGTACTTTTTTTTATGATAAATATATTTTCTAAAAGCCATAATATAACGTATACAAAAGACCTTAAAACAACTTTTAATTTGAAGAACCAAATTTTTTTCTTTTGCTTTATATAAAACTTGGTACTTTAATAAAATGAAAAAAAAATATGTTTAAAAACATTTTGTATAAAAACTCACATAAAGAAAAAAAAAATAGAATTTTCAAGATGCTTTAACTTGATCTTTATATGAGAGTATTATAACGTTTTTCTTTTTCATATCCAAGTAAAAAAACCGGTCCAAGTTTATTTGAGTTTTGCAACTTTGGTCCAAAAATAGTTTTTTTATTTGAAACAAAAACAAAAACTTTTCATAAGAACCAAAACTGAAAAAGAAAACTTTTTAGTTTTTAGGACCAAAATGATAAAACCAACAATATTTAAGGACCAAAAATGTAACTTACTGTAAAAATTTATAAAAGATTAAAATTTATAGCAAATGTTGAAATGCCCATGCCCATGGACCTGACCTAGTGACACGATAAGCCCAACCCACTCTCCACCTTTTTGTGGTAGGCTAAAAAAAAGTATATTTAAAAAAATATATATTCTATTAGAACATCCGCAACAAAGTTTTTTGCTAAGATTTTTATATAGAACATCCGCAACAAAGTTTTTTGCTAAGATTTTTCATATAAAAAATTTCCTCCACAAGAAAGCTTTTTGATGAAATCTTGTTATAAATTAAAATTAATAAAAAATACATATGGCCCATGAAAATGATTAAATAAGCTCTTGGTTTAAAAATTCCTCCACAATAAGAAAGCTTTTTGACAAAGTTATATATTATAAATAATAAAAGATATACATAGTCCCATTAAAATGATCAAATAAGCTCTTGGTTTAGTTTTTTTATTGGTTGAAAGCTATAGGCCCCATTAAAATATTGAAAAAGCTCCCTATTGTGGATGCTTAACATTAGTTTCATCTGAGGTATTATATCAGATCACTCTCAGTCTCAAGTATCGGTCTAAGTAGGCCAACACAGTATAACGCCACTATGTTGTGTCATGTCCTTACAAACAAGACCAAAACGAGTACTTAAAGTATGACAACAAAAAGACACGATATTTTCGATTTCAATTCCATATATGATATCTAGGAAGCATTCTTTTCCTAAAAAGACAAACTTGACAAGCATTTTTTTCTTACCAAATTTGCAAAAAAAAAAAAAAAAAAAAAAAAAAAAAAACCCTTGAAGGTATCTACAAAAATTCAGAACCTTTCACAATGATCAAAGTTTCATTTCTGATAATTCCAGGTAGCCAGCAACACCATTTTCTGTGATTTCTCGAACAAAAACACTTCATCAGATTAACAATAAAGTAACATAAGAAAAAAAAAAATTCTTTTTGAAATTATTAATCATTGCAAATTTGCAATATCTAAAATCTTACCTTGCTTCTTCTCCTGCTCTATTAGAAATCAACAATCTTCCCACTGAGATAATGAAAAGTATTGCAAATTTTAAATGTCATTAGTAAATATTTAATAAAGATTCAATTACAATTCATACTAAAAGGTAAATGGTGATCAATTTCAAACGATGACAAAACCTTCTAATCACAAAAGATTTAACTTTAGCAGTTGTTTAAATTTTAAAAGGTAAAAACAAAAGGAGGCAAAAAAATTCTTAGAAAAAAATAATTTGTTCTTCCCATCAAGGGGTTGTTTGGATGTGCTAAATGAAAATAGGATAATATATGAAATTATGAATGACATTCTTAAAAAAAACTATAAATAACTTATCAAAAACATTACTATAGTTAAAATAGATTGTATCTAAAAGTAGCATTTGCCAAATCTTTACAGAGAAGAACACTCTTACATCATATCCTTTTTTACTTAATAGACTAAATGGAGACATGACTTAATTGGATAAGGTATATATTGACATTTCTTCATGACTTAATGCATAAAGAAATACTCAAAATAGAAAGTGATGTAAAGGAGGCTTTCTCCATTAAGTCCTAATTTTTTACAAAATTTCCCAAATTTGTTTTTTCTCTTAAATAATTCTTAAACATTATTTAGCCAGACAACAATCAATCCAAGATTCATATCCTTAATACTTTTGACATAATGGAATTGTGGATTAGACATCCATCTTTTCCCTAAAAAGGAAAATTTTGATAACAATAACCATAGGAACTAATATGTGCATTGTTAACAAAACCGAATTCTATGACACATACTAATATTAAAAAAGTAAGGAATTTTTATGCACATGAATGATTGAATTTTGACTTACCCGACTTAAATCTGAAGCAATGGCACTTCTAATCCTCTCTCCAGTCTCATCCCCTTCTCCTTCATAATCTGGAAGATCATGATTCCTCATATAATCCGAATCTTCATCAGGAAACTCCTCATTAGACTTTATAAGAAAATTATGAAGCAAACAACATGCAACCACAACATAAGGGAAAGATTCAATTGATTCCTCCATCCATTCTTTTGACAAAATTCTCCACCTTGATCTAAGCCTCCCAAATGCAGTATCAAGCAACTCCATCCCTCGATTATGTACAGAATTAAAAGCTTGTTTTGAAGAACTCAGATTCAAACAACCATCATTAACATCGTCTTCATCTTCATGATCATCAGTATCAGATTTTCGAAAAGGGGTGATCAGCCATGGCAAAAGAGGGAAACAAGATTCACCTAAAATGTATTGAGGGATTGAAGTGCCATCGTTGAGTTCATAAGATGGACCAATTAACAATTCCCTTGATTCTTCAATGGAGGAGAACAGCTCTGATTGTCTTAAAACCATTTCGGGTTTCATTGTGCTAGGCCAACCAGCTGAAACGTCTAAGAATCTACCTTCTGAATCGACCAATGCTTGAACCATTACAGACCCATTTTCACCGAATAGGTTTCCTTTAACAGCAAAACTATCGATTCCTAAAACCCCACAACAATTGGGAAGTGAAATCCATCCAAAACCAAGTACGATTCTGTTCAAATCAGTCCTTAACTCAAAGAAATGACCTAGATTATCGATTATTGCTTTACATACCACAAAGAAAACCCGGCAGGCGGTCGGAGAATCGAGATCGAAGCGTCTTGCAACCGCATTGAAAGAAGCAGCGTGCGCGAGGCGGAAGAGAGTAGCGGAAACGGCGTAATTGGGAGGAATTGTGAGGGATGATAGGGAAGGGGTTAGGAGTGCGAGTAAGTAAGAAAACGATTGTTTAGACATTCGAAATGATTCGATGAATAACTGGTCGTTATCATTTTGTGAAGACATAAAGCGGTAAAACCATGAGGGTGGAGGAGGAGGGGGGCGGGGGACTGCGAAGGCGATCGGATGGTGAATGAGGGAAAGTAGGTTAGAGATGGAGAGAGACACAGCGGAAATGTTGGATTCGAGGGTTAGGGTTTGGGCAGGGTGGAGAGCGAGGTCGTGGTTGGCGAGGAAGGAGTGAGCGGCGGCGGTGGCGGACGCTGCCGCTGCGACCAATTGAAGAAGGTTCTGGCGGCGAGTTGAGGGTGTTTGTTGCAATTGTTGTTGCTGAAGTTTTAGATTGTTGTTGTTACGTTTGGCAGCGGCTGAGGAAGATGACTTCGCCACCGTCGAATTCTTGGTTCCACCGGCGCCGGCCATGTAACCTCCAAAGCAAATGAACAAGGGCAGGTTTTTCTTTTTCCAGAACTGAAGGCTTATTGTAGGTATTACTAGATAATATTTAAATTCGAAATAAATAGTATATTCCATTTATGGTCGATGAAACACCCCTTCTTGGTAAGCTAACACTTAGGCCAGGCCGACTGGAGTCGTTAAAGCTGCTCGCCATCGGTCGCTACGCATTTCGAACACCGTCCCCTGGCGCTCGCCATGGTTGCCTTGCTACAGACGTAACGAGATGAGAGAGAAGGTTTGTTTGGCTTGTGATTGGATGAAGGGGGATTTGACCGGATTGCTAATTCTTTGACTCAATTGAGATATAATAAATTATTTACCAACTTATTCAACTAATATAAATCAAACCACACTCTTAAGTCTCAATAATTTACACACACAAAATACCATATCTTTTACAAACTCTCTCAAACCACACTACATATAAGACCACATCTTAACAACTCTTCATACAAAACAATGTCGTCTTCGTCTTCATCGGACGATGTTTTTATAGCGTAGTACAGTCGGTCTTCTCCATACATAATAGGCTAGAACAACATCTTAACAACATTAAATCAAGCAATGCGTACCATAAACGAAGAAGACATATCCAAAGACAGTGTGAAACGGCCCACCAACGTCTCATGCAAGATTATTTTGACGAGAATGCTATGTTTGAAGGATATTATTTTTGCCACGGTTCAGGATGCATAAAGATTTGTTTATGCGTGTTGTAGAAGGTGTGACTTCAATGTCAGAGTATATGAGGCAACGCCCGGACACAAGAGGTACGTTAGGCTTTGATCCAATTCAAAAATGTATTGTTGTATTTCGTATGTTAGCATATGTCATCCCCCTGATGCACTAGACGAGAGGTTTAGGATGTCTGCACGTACTGCCCGCGAAAGTCTTCACGAATTTTGCATAACTTCCATGTCTTTGTATGGTCCATGATATTTGTGTCGTCCTACTGCTAGTGACATACAAAAGTTGTATGCTCATCATGGAAATGTGCATGGTTTGCCTGGGATGTTAGGAAGTTTAGATTGCATGCATTGGAAATAGAGTATGTGTCCTAACGCATATCATGGACAATACACAAAGGGTAATTATCATTATCCTACGGTCGTGCTTGAAGTTGTAGCCTCATAGGATTTGTGGATCTAGTATGCATTTTTCGGTAGTTCTGGTTCCCTTAATGATATTAATATTCTGAATAACTCACCAATATTCAACAATGTGTATGACAGTACTGCCCCAGATTCGTCATTTGTACTCCGAGGAACGAAATACAAATTCGGGTACTATCTTGTGGATGTGATCTATCCTGACCTTTCTGTTTTCATTAAAAGTTTGTCATGTCCGGATGACCATCAGAGGTCCAGATTTAAGAGAGTCCAAGAAAAAGCAAGAAAAGATTTCGAACGAGCGTTTGGAGCACTTAAAAAGCGTTGGCAGATAGTTTGCAAAAGCATCCATGTTTGGTGATATTTCTAATATGACAAAGGTGATATATACATGTATCATATTGCATAATATGATAATAGAACATGAAGGAAACGCGATATGTGTGTACGACGAGAATGAAGTCATCCAAGATACACAACCATTAGAATATGATGGTCAATAATTGATATAAAGAATCAGGATAATTCACAATGCAATAATCCATACTCTTAAACTGAATACGTTTCATCACCTTTCTTATTCTCATTGAGAAATTTAAATCGAGTCTCCAGACCATGCTTCAAATTCCTAAGCAACAATAATAATAAAAAAAAAAAGAACATGCAAAGAGATCTTCTTCAAAGTTCTCAACCCCATTACAAACCACTCATTGTAAAAAAAGACTTTTGTTTTATGATCGTTCCCTTAGGAACATATTCCTTTCACTGGACTATTAACTCTAACACCTTTTATGAATTACAACCTTGATACTAAGTAACTATGTATAAATACATAGTTTGATCAGCCTTCGAATAACTGACTCCACCCTAAAGCAACAACCAAATAAGAACATATAGAAGGGCTAAGTCAAAAAAATTAAGCCTATGTAATTCTAATCATGCATAGCTCCATGATGACTCTTGGGAAACTCATAATCATCCTCGATTCTTTGGAAATCCTCTATATTCTTCCGACTACATTAGTGTTGCTAAGAACTCACTCCCCTACATCACCGCCACTAATCGGTGTTCTACACTTCCTTTATTCCTTGTGAAGTTTTAGCTCTTCCCTACTCGGGGTTTACCTTCCTTTTATTGTCGCTTGTAGTCGATCGAGGCATGATGTTGCCTTAACCAATTCATGTCTACAACAACACTAATCTCCCTGTTCGGTGTCCAATTAAGATATATCATGAACTTTAACTTGGGTTCCTCTATCACAAAAACCATATATAAGGACCTAGCTTGTCTCTTTTTCCTAAATCTAATGATGCCTTTCTGTGGTGTTACCTTTAGTAGTACGTGATCCCCAACCATAATTTAAATAGGTATTTGAATGATTAACTCGATCCCTAAAGCAACAATCAAACAAGACATACAATAAGGATAAATTAAAGATTCTAAGCCTATAAAATTCAACCCTTCCTGCTTATTTACATGACCTCTGTGATTCCATGTATTATCTTAATACTATTTATCATTATAATGAAAGTTTTGACAGATCTCGTGAACAAACACAATTTTATCTCTTCCGCTTGATATATGTATAGGTCCAAGAACCTAACCCTCTGAATGAATCCTTGATACTTCTCGAGTCTCTTTGTCTCTGATCCACTCCCAGATCCACCACCATATCAAAGTAATACTTTTGTTAATATGATTTTCTTTTACTTGGTAATACTTTACTTTCATCTATCACTCACCAAATCTTTAGGGGCCTTCATGATTCTTCCAGACTCATGTATCTATCATATGCTTTCGATTGTACGGGCCATACTATCTTCCACACCTATAGATACTTGTTCTTGGAGATCACATGAAGTCTCGCTAACTAGATGAGTTGGATATTACTTACTTATACACTTCATTAGTGTTTTTAGATTACCCTGAGAATGCACTTTAACATTTCACACCGACTCAAGACATTTAACGATGATGGCAAGATGCAACATACATGCATAACATCAAATCAGATAGGCATTCGAATAGATAAATCCCACCCTAAATCAACAATCAAACATGCAATAAGGTCATATCAAGAATTCTAAGCCTATGTTATTTCTGTTATGAATAGCTAAAGGCATACTTACCGCTAATTATCAATATCGATTATATTGCATATATCATGCATGTAAAGCACATAAAGGCATACAACACATAAGGTAATCATCCTCATTTAAACATTTCTAGTATGCATAAGCATCAACAATACACAATCATTAACTGCCTAGCATGCTTCATCACATAAGCACACAATACATCTACTCCCATTCAAGTAGGCCAAGCATGCTTAACATCTATATATACATAAGTATAACTTTCTATCATGCAAAACAAAATATACTAAACCTTGTGGCTCGCTAACCGTTGAACTCTGGATGAATGCATGTTTTACATTCTCTTCCCTTTCATACCATTTAAGCCCGGTGAAAGATCTGACCAGTGTTCCTAGTCTCAGAGCAACAATCAAACAAAAATATGCAATGAGACTAAGTTCATATGCCTAACCCAACAAATTTTCGAAATTTGTTTTTTGAAAAGGTTTTCTTTAAAAATTTGTACTTTGAAACTTGTTTGAAAAAAATTTAGCTTTTAAAACTTGTCCCATTTTAATGAATTTTTTCCAAAACTTATTTCATTTAAAACAATTTTTTAAAACTTGTTTTATTTTTAAAGAAGTTTTCAAAACCTAAGCCTTGGTTTGAGTTTAAACATACAAAAATGTATTCATAAATCCCTCAAACCATGCTCTAATACCAACTTGTAACGTCCTAATAAAAAAATTCTTATAAAATAGTTAATATAAAAACATGACCTTCAATATTTAAAACCTTTAAAAAACAAAAACTTTGGAAAATATTAAAATATTAAACCATAACTTTCAAACTTAAATTTAAATACGAGTATACATTTAATACCATTAAAAATCATTTATGAAGAAAGTTTTTTACACAACAAATATTCAAGCCATGGGGGTAGGTTTATCGAACATGATGATTCAACATACAAATTATGAGTTCGAAAATCAGACTTCGATGAAATTTTCTATAAGAAATTTAAAAAGTACAGAAACCCACTAAATTTCTTCGGGGATGGAGATCAATATTCGGTTGAATATTAGTGGTTTTTTGTAGGGTTCTTTAAGTGAAAACCAATTATAGAGAGGCATCATCTGAAATTTATGCTACGCGTCGAAGTTAGAGAGTTTAAATCATACACAGAGAGTTGAAGAATCCAACACATCCATTATCTATACGTGATGTGTTGTTCATGGGGTTTTGAAAAAAGTATAAATAAAGACTTATCTTTGACCTAAAGAAAACACATCTGTTTTTGGATACTTTTAAACGACCAAAAGGAATTTCAAGACATTTTCAAGGCTAGAAAGAAGATTTGGAGCAAGGATTTAAGGGATCATGAGTTCAATCATTCGGTTTGTTTTGTCATTATGCTTAGCATTCATATAAAGATTTCTTTGTGTTCTTTGTTTTTTTTTTATCATGGACTAAGAAATTTTTGTTTTCACTTAGAGTAGATGAACCCTTAAGCTTTTGTGTGATTTTAATGGGGAAAAATTGTTTCTCTATGAGTATGAGTATGACTATTTAAAGCATCATAGAAGTAAATCCATGGCACATAAAAAATTACATCATTTAAAGAAACTATTTCGTTACTTCACCATATGAAGCAACAAAAACAAAATAAAAAGTACATCTATGCATGGGTGGTTTTGTTATGGTGCCCATAGTGGCACCGACAACGCCTGATTTTTCCGTACGCAATGCAAAAAAATTCGAATTTTTTTCTACTATCGTG